GGCCAATTTGTCGAGGCGTCGAAATTGCTCGGTATTTGCTCCTGACACGTTCTGTCAGAGCGCGGATCTTCTCGATTTCCTTGAATCGCTTTCCTCCTTTTTCTCCGCCACGTTCGACGGAGCCACGCCAATCACCATACCGTCGCGTCGCCTTAATTTAGTACCTCGCCAAACAGCTATTCAACCGCGACAGTCCGCTTTTAAGCGTGCAAACGATCGACGCGAGCCTGCCGTTTGATCGAGCACCGCCACCGCGTCGTTCAGCTTCTCCACGTTGATCGCATCCGCAGGACCTATTCCTGGAATGGCGCCATCCGAGTTCGAGGCACGCATGGTCGAATATGTGAAGCTATTGAACAAGGAGCTAAGGAGTGCCGGCGCTGGTACACCGCCACCGATAATCCACCGGCAGGACAGCGCTTCACCTCCCCCTTCAACGCCGCCGAGGGATGCAGCAGGGTTCAGTGCTCTCGATGTGTCGCGACTGACCTTGTGGAACATATACAATAACAATACATTGTACCCAGGAGTTGGGCATCAACCATCTATGTCTCCACAACCGTCGCCCATACCACCAGTGTCCACTCCTGAACCACAGAGAGAAGCACTCGATCTTGGACTCAGGTAATGAATTATCGAGTAACGCACTCACGCACATCAATTACGAACGTACGAAATGTAATTTAATAAACGAGTTCACGGCCGGTGGTTTTCATTCGTCAGGTCGTCGCCTGTATCCTCACCGGTAAGACAAAGTTCACCCTGTTCGAGTAGCAGCATGCAAGTGAAGAAAGATCAGGACTCGACTGTCCCGGTTGGACCTACACCGGCGAAAAGATTACTTGCCGACGATGACAATCCCGTCGAGAAGAACGTCCTTGGTACGCATATAAAAATTTCCAATCGAGGTAAGAAATCGAGGTTTTACTTTGCAAAACTGTTGTATGTTTTCTTTTGCCATTTACAGGCAACGTACAGTTTTTATATGTCCTTACAAAACCGTATACCCGCGCGTTCACAGTGTTTGTCAACTGTGTTTTTACAAATTGATGAGCGATTGGTGTGGCGATTACGAAAAAATTTCGAAATGAAATTCAAAGATCTGACCGTTTCGATCTACCGTTAGCTCTTTGCGGTCGAAATAACTTTGTTACATGCATGCTTCTAATGTGAACATAATACGCACATTTTGGCATGGTGCATGGATGAAATTTCGACTGAAAAAACGTGCGTCCTGACTTCAAATGTCAAGTTGTTCATTTCTACTTGGAGATAGCAACACATCGGATATTATCAAAAGTCACTCTGTATTTATTTTAGTTTTTTTTATATTTCTTTTAATTTACTGCAGTTGTTTGATCCTACCGAATAAAAAGTGGCCATATTGTAATGCGAAAGTAAATTCATAAAGCTGATGGATGTAGTTCTTTGTTTTTTTTTTTTTTTTTAATTTTTATCTCTTGACGATATAAGATTATTTTATACCGTAGTAATAAATAATATTCGTGTGTTGTCTATCTCGAGATAACAATTAACTGTCCAAGTAAGCGTCATCTACCAAGCCAGCGAATATGATGACGTTTATTGGGAAACTTATGCATGCAGCTGTTACGTCTGCAAAAGAGTTAAAGTAAAAGAAATTTTTTTTTTTTTTAATTTTGCCTTGTGTGAGGTGGGTAAAACCATATATAGTACCATATATGGTACGATATTGTCCCTGATCTAAATTGACAACGATAACGATTTTGCGATATTGACTTCGGCACTCCGTGCACTGTCTTTAAATAACCCATTTTTCCATTAATTACATTTAAAATAGCTTTTCAGTCCTGTCTAGTTATTTCTCGTTTATAATTGCGAATATTATTCTTCAAACAAAAATGAAATATTAAATATTTAACAAACCTCGAAAGACGTCCAAAGTGTAACGTCCAAAGAAAATTAACGGAAAATTACGGGCAAAAATTTTCATCAATAGATATTGTTAATAAATATCGTCGTATCAAAGTAACATCTTATCAAAGTACTATAGCACAGCTCTAAAAGCAACAGAATATAAAATTGCAATAGTCGAAAGCACAACACGCGAATGATAGTTTTTTTTAGAACGTGGTTTACAGCAAACGAACGAATACTTCAGTATGAGAGAAAACGATTGCCAAACGTTCGTCAGAGAATATTTTTCAGTATCCAGTTGCAGAAACAAGTGTGGTATATGGTTTTGCCCAGGTATACGGTTCTATGTAAAATTCCCTATGCAATTATATTAATGTATGTATAACCGTGGAATGTTTGATGATAGGAGACGGAAGGAACGGCGACAATTCCTTAGTAGTCAGTATGGAGCTAAACGGAGTGATGTATCAAGGTATCCTATTTGCGCAAAATGACAATAAGACCTCGAGCAACACAGCGACATGCAGCAGCAACAATTCGAAACCATCGCGAGGCGTAGTTTCGTGAATACACAACGATCAACGAAGCAGCCTACGTTATGTCTCGACACGTAGGATTCATTTATAGCAATAAATGATAAATAGAATAATCATAACGAGACACGGAGCTGTCTGCCATAATGTTAGTCACCGATCGATCGAAGTGTCTTCGTAATTGTACAAATCGGAGAATGTTCGAATTTCAATGTAGTTCGACGCGTGTGATCAAGATCTCTCATGCGAACATTTGTCGTTTACGTCGTATGTGAATCAATCGTTTTATTAAGTTTCTTTTCTCAAATCATAAAAAAACATATTCGCAAAGAAATTCTGAATTCTTATTGTGATATTAGATGCGCGTATCTAGCTGATCGTCAGATGTTTTTATTTCTTGTTTCTCTTGTTAACTGTATACGGAATTTTTCTGGCCACTCTTATGTATTTTCGGTCGATCATTGGCGAGCGTAGGAAGAAATTGAGTTTTTTTTTTTTTTTGTTTTAACAACGACAACTGCAACATTATTATTTAATAACGTTGCTCCAGTTTCTTACCGGAATGGTAAAAATTGTGTAAATAATACACAGGGTATATTTCTGAAATCGGCTAGAAGGTAATAAGTTGCAAAAAAAGATAATTTTTTTTTATTTATTTAGACTTCGTTTCTGAGAAAATCGGGTTTGAAAATTTACTTCTAAAGTACTTGAATTTTATTAATTTCATTAATTTTAGATGTGACAGAAAAGAGTAATTAATAAATAGAGTATTCTATATATTCAAAAATAAGTAAAAGAAAAAAATATTTCAGGCTCGACTTTTGCCCAAAAGAAAATCTTACAAAACAATTTTGTTCTACATTTTCACATGAATAGAATAATCTCCTGTTAATCTTCTGTCACGAAAATTGAAGCATATCTAAAATTTTCAAACTCGATTTTCTCGAAAACGTAACGTTATATGGGAAAATTTCATTCTCTCTGTTTTGGCTTATTTTTAAATGCAGAGTCGGCTAATTGTACCACAATTTCGAGAACACCCTATATAATATTTGAATTAATCGTGATGGTGGTTCCGACTCGATAAAGTTATTGTGTGAATAATGTATATATGATTTGTGTGCAATGAAAAGAAAATATCTTTTTTTAATTATATTTCTCAAGTCTTGCGGCTTCTTTTCATCTGAGGGAAACCTTTCTATGTGTCGCTCGCCACAGATTTCATGTTAAATCTGAATGATATATTTATTAAAAAGGGAATAGAAATATAAATAAAGAAACGATAAATATTTGTAAAGATAAATTAGAGTGAAAAGTATTCTCCGAGAAGTTTTGACTCAGCTAAGTAGAATAATAATTGCTTTCAGAAACGAACTTCCGATCGATCGTTTCCTCTTTCTTTCTTTTCTTTTCTATCTCTTTTTTTATACATACATACATACATACATATATATATATACACACATACATACATACATACATACATACATACATACATACATACATACATACATCATACATACATACATACATACATACATACATACATACATACATACATACATATAATATAGCCTTGTATCATTGTATTCAATCAAAACATCTTAATTTATTTATTATCTCTCGAGGCACGAGCGTTGTCCGTGCAATTTAGTTTCTAGTAGTTTCTAGTAATTTCTAATAGTAGCCCTCTTTTCTGTTTTTTCCAAACTTGGAAAATCGGTGTTCAGCCGATATTTTATAGCATTTTAAATTAGCACATGTACATTTGTTTTTACCACGGCTATTAATACAATATTACTACGAATATAGAAAATAAGTGTAGTGTATGTATATGTGCAGGTACGTGTATTAATAAATATGTATATATACTATATACGCATTTACTATACACGCATAAATATGTACGTATATGTACTATATAGATATATGCATGATATACATGCATATATATGCTCATCTACATGCATACATAGAGAATTATCCATCTTGTCGCTTGTTAAGTGCACATAGTCATTCGAATGTATTTCTTCTTTCGTAAGAGAAAGAGAGAGAGAGAGAGAAAGAGATAGATAGAGAGAGAGAGAGAGACAGAACTTGTGACAATTTACAAGTATGCCATTATTATAACTATAATTATTATTATTATTATTACTCTTAGATATAGAAATATCGTGATTTTTATATTATTAAGCACTAATAATTTTTATTTTCTTTTACTTCCTTTTCGTTCCAGTAAGATTTTCATTGTGACAAAAACGATATCGTTGCATGATCGCGTTCGCTTTTCGTTCATATTCGTCTACGCATGAATTAACAACACCGCGGAATCGAACGAAAAGAAAAAGTAGATCATTGCTATCCATTTCTTTCTTTTTTTTTTTACTCCATGTTTCTGCGTTGTTTTCTTCTTTTATCAGATGCACGAGAGATCCGAGCGTTTGTCACAAAAGCATTTAGTCGCATACCATCTGAACGTTCGAATCCGTTCACACACCATCTCGCATCACCTCGCATCACCTCGCACTATCTCGCACCACTCTCGCACACTGTATGTGCCGTCGATTTTTCAATTCTCCCTCCATTTTCTTTTTTCTTTTTTTTTTTTTTTTT